GTTCAAAACGGCTCGCAGTTTCATGTGAGCTGGCTTATTGGGTATTATTATTATTGCTTAGTTTGTGTTCAATCAACTATACATCTGACCTGGATTCGACTACGCAGTGAAAATTTAGGAGGGTAGCTGGAAACATAGAATCGAGGTTCCTTCATTGGTACGGAATTGCCAATTTCACACGCTGGTGCTTCTACAAGTTATTGGATTGTGAAGGGCTCTTATGTCCGTTGTACTTTGAAGCTCAAAGGAAACATCTTGCCTACTTATTGACTTGGAAAGTAATACAGAATTTGCACGCATTGCATAGCTTCGTGTTAAAAGTTTGATTTTGTTAAAATGTTTATTGGTGTTCTTGGGCAACTGGAGATTGATTAGCTGAAAAAATGGCACTAAAGCTTCCTGCTGCTGAAGCAGCCAAGGCTGCTATTAAGTCGATAGGATGTGGCTATGATATATCCTTAGACTTGAGGCTTAAATACTGTAAAGGTGGTCCATGCAATAAGCGTCTGATTGAGATCAACGAGGACAAATGCCAAGATATTGTTCTTCCGGGTGGGATTTTAATCCCGAACGTGCCCAAGTCTATTAAATGTGATAAAGGAGAACGCACAAGGTTCCGATCTGATGTTCTGTCTTTCCAACAGGTACTGTTGCATTGTGCTCATGCTACTTAATTTTTTGGGCTAACCATTTTTTTTAGTAATTTTGGCATGTGAGTTTCTACATTATGTGCACTGTTCTTTAAGATTTTGGCATGTAATTTTGGCATGTGAGTTTCTTCATGTAATTTCACAAGCTCACTGGGCATAAGATTTTTTTATGTTAAACCTATAATGCAATTCTGCATACCATTCTTATGCTTAATTTACTATTTGTCCTGTCCAGATGTCAGAACACTTCAATCAGGAAATATCTTTGACTGGTAAAATTCCCACAGGGCTCTTCAATGCAATGTTTGATTTTTCTGGCTGCTGGCAGAAGGATGCTGCATGCACAAAAAATCTTGTTTTTGATGGGGTCTTCATCACATTGTACTCTATTGCGCTTGAAAAATCTCATATGTTGTTAAGTGATCATGTGAAGAAAGAAGTCCCATCAACATGGGATCCTGCAGCATTAGCAAGGTGAAACACTGAAACTTGAGGTTGGCAACAATTTTATTTTTTACTGCTGCATAAATTCTTTTGAAATGTAGTTTGTATAAGAAGGGTAAAACTTGAAAAAGAAAATCATTCATCATCATCATCACCATCACCTCAGTGCCGCAAAGGCTCCCACCTACGGTGGGGTAAGGGGGGTCGGATGTACGCAGTTTTACCCCTGTACTAAAGCACAAAAAGACTGTTTCCGAATGACCCATAGTGAAAATCGCGTCGAAAATTGCATAGACTGACTGTTACTTCATAACAAAGAAGCGCAGACAGTTTAGTGAGCCATTTTGCTTTATTCAATCATATTCCCAAGCCAAAAATAGTTAGTCTTTGAAAAAGAAAATCATTAATGTGCGTAAATTCCGTAAAATGACATATTCAAAGTAAATAATCAATTTTGCTCATTAAAGAGTTGAAGACTAATAAATAGGAACACAGAGAGTATATAACATTGACTTTTTTGTATCATTCCCTACACAATAGTTTAATATTGAATTTGCTATAGGACTTCATATCGTAGAGTTATTTTCATATTCCAGGTTCATTGAGAAATTTGGTACTCACGTTATTGTTGGTGTAAAGATGGGGGGAAAGGATGTTATATATTCAAAACAACAACGCTCCTCATCACTTGAACCTGCTGATGTCCAGAAAAGGTTAAAGGAAATAGCAGATAAGAGGTTTTCAGATACTAACGAACAATATAGATCAGATTCAGAACAGGTTTATCAGAATGACAAGGTATAGTACCTTAGCGCATTATCACCGCAAGTTTTCCTACTTTTTCAGTACTGAAATACACAAATATTCTTACTTTGTCACGTTCTTTTACCTTTTCCCTACATTTTTACTTTTTCTGCATTATAATCTGCCCCTACAACTTTACTCTTAATTTCTGTGAAAACCTTACTGGAGAGAGTAATAGTGAAATCTAATTAAGTGAGTAGTAGTGAATGGAAGGAGTACAATATCGGCTAAATTGTTTATTTATTTCTCATAAAAATGTATCTTCTGGACCATCGTTTGAAATTGCGCAATGCAATTATGCCTCAAGGCGTGCCTTGGTGATTTTCCCTCCAAATATGATAGTAGGTCTCTGAGTGTCTCAAATCGTGCCATGTTGAGGCTTACGATTTTCAGGCATGACGCACACACAATAAGGTTTACGTTGATGGTAATTTAGTCTGCAAATCCCCCCATTTTAACTAATATAATCATGTCCTACCATCTTTCGGTTTCATTTTCTGAAAGCCTGGCTATTTTTATTTTTCAAAAACCTTGAGGGTCCATAAGTAGGATCAAATGGTAATTTAAGTAAATCTCAGGGGAGGTATGCAATAAACCCTTACTTTTTGTTGAAATATCTGTTTTTGTATCTAAAGTCAAAACATTTTGCTGTAGTTTGAAGCTAGGGAGACGCGTCTGAGATTCGCAGAAGCTAGTGCATCAAGTTCTTACGTGTACAAGGAGGTATGTCACTAATGCAAGCTATCTCATCTCTGGTAAACATGCCTTTTCTATAAACAAATTGTCATTTTGTGTTCTTAATTGCAGGACATTGTTAGCATTTGCAAAAGGAGAGGTGGGAGTGATTACAGAAACCTAACCCATAATGAGTGGTTAAATACTGTCCAGTTAGAGCCAGATGCAATCTCTATGTCCTTCATCCCCATAACATCACTTCTGAATGGCATACCTGGAAGTGGATTTTTGAGTCATGCTATCAATTTGTACTTGCGTTGTGAGTTGGGTCATTTTATATTACTTGTAAAAAATCTGAAGAAAGAAGATTTAAATTTTCATCTTTGAATCCTTTATATAGAAATTTATAGATATCAATATTTGTTGGCACTTGGTTCGGCTTTCAGATAAACCACCAATCGAAGAGCTTCACCAGTTTTTGGAATTTCAGCTTCCAAGGCAATGGGCTCCGGTATTCAATGATCTCCCTCTCGGTCCACAGAGAAGGAAGCAAAGTTCAGCTTCGTTACAGTTTAGTTTTCTTGGTCCAAAGCTGTATGTAAACACTGTTCCGGTAAAGCTCAATGATACTTCTTCTATCAGTATATTACTTTTCCACTTCATTATTAACGTGGGAGCCTTTGAAGTACTGGGGTAATGGTGTTGTTGTTGTATTATTAACCTGGGAGTTTTATGCTCAGGTTAATGTAAACCGGAAATTATTTTTTTCTCCCCTAGATGGCATCCATAAGTTGGGCATTAATTGCGATCCTATTTCACATCCTGGTAATCATTTTGAATGATAAAGTTCAGACGCAATAGTCCAACCTGACATTATGAGCCCATATTGTAGGCCTTAGTTTTGGTTCATCAGCCATTTTCACTGAACACTTATTGGCACTGCCCTAGCTGAATCAACCGATAATAACTAATAAGAAAAGCTAGTGCATATGTTACTTTGCTTTTTGGGTAGACTGGTTTAAATTAATATTTTTAGGTTTACCAGTAGATTTATTTTCTTTAATTTAATTAAATACTCTTCCCATCCCTAAATTATTCCCCACTTTGAGCAGGCACGAGTTCTTACAAATATAAAAATGGTTTGGCTAAGATTTATTATTTCAAAAAATAGAAATAATATGAACTGTATATGGTTTCCCTAAAATGATAAAAGGAAATAGGTGATAATATAGGGACTTGCGGAAGAATAAAGTTGGAAGATAATCTAGGGAACATGCGTTGAATATATTTTAAATATTGTTAAATAAATTGTTCAGTAGATTAAACCAAAACTATAGTATTTTCAGGAGATTCAACCATAGCATTTCTTATTTGTGGACCCTGCAGGGTAGGATCTAAATTTATGTACATTTCACTAATGACAGGTCGATGTTGGCAAGAGGCCTGTGACCGGCCTTCGGTTGTACCTTGAAGGCAAAAAGAGCAATTGTTTGGCCATCCACTTGCAGCACCTCTCGTCTCTTCCTAATATATTCCAACTTCAAGATGATCCACACGGAAACTTCTGCCGAGAAACCTACGACCGCAAGTACCATGAGAAAGTTCAGTGGAAGAACTTCTCCCATGTCTGCACGGCACCCGTTGATTCTGATGAGGATCTTTCCATAGTCACTGGAGCAAAACTCGAAGTCGGTGGCTACGGGTTGAAAAAGGTCCTTTTCTTAAGACTCAAATTCTCATCCGTCGTGGGGGCCACTATGGTGAGGCAGTCAGAGTGGGACGGTTCGTCACAGGGACTAGGCCGCAAATCCGGGTTGATGTCAACTTTGATCAGTCACCATTTCTCAACAGTTCAGAAGCAACCACCTACACAGCCTGTTGATTTGAATGTTAATTCTGCTGTTTACCCGGGTGGTCCCCCAGTGCCTATTCAAGCGCCTAAGCTGTTGAAGTTTGTTGATACGACTGAGATGAGTAGAGGGCCCCTAGAAACACCTGGTTATTGGGTTGTGTCTGGGGCAAGACTCATGGTTGAAAAGGGGAGAATCTCTCTGAAGGTCAAGTTTTCTTTACTTACTGTTATACACCCTGATGAAGGAACACCTGAGTAAACAGATAGGAGATAAGGAGAACCTTCCTCCATTAGTGTGCTCGAGATGATGGTTTTACCATTGCTTTTTATTTTTTATTTTTTAATTTTCACTGTACGCATAACAATATGTTTAAGCTATGCATATGACTAGTCAAAATAGAATTCTGAAGTCTGACTATTGTTGACTTCTTTTTTTTCTATTCTAATACAATGTGAGGCTTTTCTATTTTTCTTTCCCAGTTTGTTTGTCTCTTCATGACAGACAGACTAGGGATTAAGATTTAAATGATGGAGCAAATTGAAGACAGACTCCAGATACCATTACTTGCACATTACTAGCATTCTGTTTATGAAATATTATGTACATGGGAAGGCCAACAAACTCCTTCCCTTTGACAAGGAAGCGGTGCAGGTTGGGCAATGAAGGTCGGATATTGCTGTCCAGGCATTAAGACCGTGAAGTCCGGTGAAGAAAATCTTGGTATCTGTACAATAACAAGATCACAATTTATAAATTCTTTTGGGTTTCTTGTAAGCCAAACGAAACTCCATCATATAATCTTGAGGTTTAAAGGTGGATTACTTACTGTTTGTGGTGATCTTCCAAGCTTGTGCATTGTTGTTCCAGATTCTAAGCTGTGGTGGTGCATATGACCTTCAGCCCCTCCTTGCTTGAAGAGATGCTCAAAAATGGCCATGATGAGAAACATGGAGATCAAGATGGCTGTAGCTACAAGCCCGAAACAAATGGCATTCGCTGACGTCCCAAAGTTTCTCCATGCACCACCACCTTCCACCTGGGATGGACTAGGCTGTTCTGCACTTGTTTTATATATTTTCCATGCCCCCCTTGTTCTTTCATACCTCAGCTCACTCATGTCTGCTATGCTTTCTTTTCACAATAAGTATGAGATGTATTCCTCCACCCCCCTCTATGCTCATATGGATAACACAAATTTGAGAGCTTAAATGGCATGTGTGGGTCATGGAATAAATAAAAATTGATGCGACAAAGAGATGACCTAATACCTCTATTTATTTCCCCACGTTTCATTTTCTTCCATTACTATTGTTTTAGCGGAAATAAATGCTCCGAATATGACATGAAAGTGATGTATGGTATTAACTATTAAGATATGAAGTTACTTCCTAATGGCCTAATGGGTAACCTTAGAGAAGAGTAGTCTAATATTTATACGTAGTATGTTAGTTTATTGTTTGGTATTTAGTCGATATATGAAAAATGAAATACTCCCTACATCCCATTTTATTTGACTTTCCTTTTTGGATTGTTTCAAAATAAGTATCTCATTTCTTTTTGGAAAGAAATATGTGGTTCACAATATTTCATTTTATTATACAAACTCCAGCCACCGCTTTTACTTTTTCAGTCACGTTATTAATAATTGTGTCAGATCAAAACAAGACACATAAAATGGGATGAAGATAATATTAATCAACAGTTTTCTAAATAATGAGATATACTCCGTATTATGATGGTCCAACTCCAAGACATTGTTTGGACTTTGGACCTTATTTTTTTTCTTAGATGCACTTTCACAAGAGCTCATGTCTTGATAACATATTACTAGTTTGAGTTTCATCATAAAAGATTAACTTGATAATAGAATTTTGATATTTTATGTATTGACATCGGTTTATTGTTTCTTATTTAATTGACATGAGAGAAATATTTCAAACATGAGGGTCCATCATTTCATTTCCCCCGCAGAACCTTAGAATTTGAAGGAGATGGGGGGGGGGGGGTTAACTCTATGTGTCATATCTTAAATGGACCTTGCATTGCTCTACTAAGTTATGGAACAACATCATTATAGTGGTTTGTGTCCATCAAGAAAAAGTAGTAAATTCCCCATTTTAATGATGAGAATTTAGAAACTATTCTTTGCAAGGAAGACACAACAAATCAACATCAGCAAATATATGGGTGGGGTGAGGGTGAGGGTGGGGATTAATCTTTGAAATGAAGAGATCTCTGGCTCTCTGCACATGGACAATTGCACATGCACTATTTCATTCACTTTTTCATCTCTTCATGGGCATTATTTTCTATTTTAGTTTTTTCTCAGAACAAATACTGATGCAGAAAGACTGATGCAGAAAGAAGGATGTGATATTGTGAACCAGATAAACAATGGATTTAAGTCATTTTACCTTCAAAGGAGAATGATCACAATAAGAAAGCAGCAAAGGTGTCAATTTCACTATCTCAGTCAGACATGTAAAGAACCAAAGAAAGCAGCTAGCAATGGTATACTTCTGTGCTGCAGCAAAATACTAAAATCCCAGAGTTGCTGTTTATCTTACTCAAGCCAAATGCTTTTCCTGCCAATGAAGAAACAGACAGACACATTGCACTAAAGCTAGGTGTACCCTTTCATAAATAGCACAAAATGTGTAAGACAAAAGTGGAATTACTATGTACATAATAATCTTAGTAGTAGTACAGTTTATACTTTTTGTTTTGGCCACCTCATTCATGATTTATGATACTTAACTTAATGAATACTATACTTCTGTTATCTATGAATAGACATAAATTGGTGAAAGAAAGCTTCAAGAACAAAAGTTATTGGCCCCTCTTTGTCTGGGCAGCTCAAAACAAAAGCATTCACTTTTCTTTTCTTTTTTAACTTCCAAGATGTCATAATGGGTGGCAAACTGCTGATACCCAAATTAAAAGAAAAGCTGAGTTTACATTTTCTAACCACATGAACGACATGATTGGTAAGGCTTAGAATTGTTAAAGACGTCATTTTTTTAAATGTCTGAATTAGTTATAAAAATCTTTTACTTGATCGAATACATTTCATTGGAAAACAAAAAAACGCATAAAAAGGCTAAATTGGTCATCTGCTGAATTATTATTTGGATTTTTTGCCGCTTTCGCTCCCCCAACTATTCTGTGAGTGACACTTTTGGTACTCGATTTTCAATTTTTCCATTTTTAGTCCTCGACTATTATGGAAGAGACACTTTTAGACTTTTAGTCCTCAACTTCAAAGTTTCCCGCATTTAGTCCCTGAGTATTATCAATTGTCATTTTTAGTCATTCAACTATAATTTTAACATAATAAATGGAGGACTAAAAATGTCACTATTATTATAGATTTATAGTTGACGGGCATCAACGGGCACCAAAAGTGTCTTTCGCACAATAGTCAGGACTAAAAGTGTGAATTCAAAGTCAAATATTAAAAGTATCAGTGACATAATAGTCAGAAGACTAAAAATGACAAAAAAAACTCAAAACTTACTCCATAGGACACATAAAGCTAATGAGCCAAAAATATAATGCGTAGCTACTAAAGCATATGCAATTTATGGGCTAGTGATCCATTTGGCTTGAGGTAAATAATGTGATTCACTTTCTCTAAAGTCATTTGAATTATAAATCTAAGCAAAGAGGGGTGGGGTGAACTATCCACCTGTATTCCCCGCTACTCATTCTGTTAAATTTGATTAGTAGTGTTTTTTAAAACTAATATTTGATGATCCTCAAGTGCAAAAGTGTACATTGCAATTATGAATATATATTCGCATGATGTGACTCTAATCCCACCGTGCACAATATGATTACTACAATAATAATAAAAATTAAATAACAAGGGTAATAACAACAACAATAATACGATAAAAAAACAACAATAATTATAATTCGATAAAGAGCTACTTTAATTTTAAAACGGCTAGTACAGTTTTCAGTTTGAGCCGGAAAACTATGAAACCAAGTCTCAAGCGGATGAAGTCTGGACTGAAAATGCGATTTAAACTTTTTAATAATTAATACGGAGTATTTTATAATGGTATAAAAAATAATAGTCATTAACATTTGTTTTCACAATTTCATGCCTAAATTAGGATGTTTTCTTTTGGACTGAAATTAGGATGTTTTCTTTTGGACTGAAATTTGTTGGTCTGATCTGGTCTAGTCTGGTTTGGTCTGGTAAATGTCTGGCCTCTGTGTATTTTATAACTACGGAAGTCTGGTCTGGTCTGATCTGGTCTGGGACTGAAAACAGTCTAAAAGAAAACATCCTTAACCTTCAACTTTTACGCCTAAACTTGTACATATTTGCGTCAGTTGATCGTAAACTCACAACTTAATGATCTTTTCCATGCATATTTACTCCAGAGTATGTGATATATTGTTAAAGTCCCACACCTGTATTTTAGGAAATAATAGGGTGCTATGTTAGGATCTGAGTTATTCTCCTCACAAGTTGATCTTTTAGGATGGAACTCTAGATCTTAACATGGTATCAGAGTCAAACTGATTCATATCCATGAGGTGGGCCCCTTATGAAAAATAACGATACGGTTATAAAAAATGACAATGACGAACGACAAAAAAATGAATGACGGCATATATTAAGATCTGAGCTACTCTTCCTAATAGGTTGACTTTTTAGGATGAAACTACACATCTTAACTAGTGGTGGATTTGGTTCGGGCCACCCGGCCCGGCCCGGTACTGTGCGGGCCCGGGACCGGCCCGGTCCAGCGGTCCGGGACCGGGTGTTTACCCGAACCGGGGTGCAGCGGGGGGCGGGCTCGGTTCCGATAAAAGGTGACCCGGCCCGGCCGGGTCGGGCCCAAGTCCGGGTCACAACGGCTATTTTTTTTTTCTTTTTTTCTTTTTTTGGCCAAAATAGCCGTTTGGGTGGGTTGTAGGGGGGGGGTCTGGGCCATTTTGGGGAGTGGGGGGGAAGGGGTGGGGTGGGGTGGGGGAAGGGTAAAAAAACTATAAATACTCCGAATTTTAAACATTTTTCCACACATCTTCTCCAACTCTTCCTAAATCCTACTCTCTACTCTCTCATCATCTCCATCTTCATCTTCTCAAATTCTCTTATTCTCCATGATATTTTATTTTACTATTTCATACTTATACAATTATTATATCTACTTATATATTAATTATCTACTTATAAATACATATACTATGTTACTTATATTTCTTATCTACTTAATCTCTACTTATTATCTACTTATATCTACTTAATACATACTACATCTACTTAATATATACTTTATATATTAAAGTATTAAATATACTTTATCTACTATTAGTATATACTTAATACATACTATTATCTACTTCTCTACTTATATTTCTTATCTACTTACTCTTATTCTCCAATCTCCATTATATTTTACTATTTAATTCTTATACAATTATTATATCTACTTATATATAAATTATCTACTTATAAATATACATATACTATATTACTTATATTTCTTATCTACTTAATCTCTACTTATTATCTACTTATATCTACTTAATACATACATTCTACATCTACTTAATATATACTTTACATATTAAAATATTAAATATAAGTGTATTACTCATCTTATAGTAGTATACTTATATATTATATACTATAAACATTATATTATATATTAGTTATACAATTCTTATATCTACTAATATAGTTGGAATTATATCAAATTAATTCGAACTATATTAATTAGTATATTAAATATATATATATATATATATATATTCGATTTTTACTAATATATTACTTTTATTACGTCTAATTAATATATTAAGTATATATATATACTTACACAATATATTATATATTAGTTACACTTTAATTAATATTAGTTAAAATCATTCTATTACTCATTTACTCCCATTAATTAGTATACACATTCATACATTTGTCTTATTACTTACATTTTGTATTAACATTACTTGATTATTTAATTAGTATTCCCACTAATTGTTACATTTTTCATTAAATTAGTTAATTAGTATTCCCATTAATTTCTACCTTTGTCTCTACTTTAAAAAACTAGTTAATTGTCATTATAGTTAAAGTCACATTATAATAGTTTGAATTTATATTTGAAGGACAAAAGAGCAGTTCAATTAATTTTATTAAAGTACTTAACGTTTTATTAAAGTAGTTTTCACTAAATTAAAGTACTTGAAAAGTTGCTATAATTTAATTACTCACATTTTAGTTAAAGTCACACTTGTTAGTTTTAAGTATTTATTAAAAAAATACTATTGATTAGTTCGAATTTAAATTTTTATTTTAGAGTCACACTTTAATTCATTACTTAATTAAAGTACTTCACATTTTATTAAAGTAGTTTTCACTAAATTAGTTTGGGATAAGGGTCAGTTTAGTCCTCGAAGTTGCAAAAAAGGGGTCAAATAAGTCCTTATATAGAAGATTCTGTCCGGACGTGTCATTTGAGGTGGCTTCCGGTGGAATTTTTTTATGAAAGTTTTTGAGCATATTATTCATTAAGTCTAGTTCACTCATACCAAATTTCAGATAAAAAATCAATCGGGAAGACATTGAAATGAATTCTTGAAGATAACTGTGCCGTTAAAAGCACAGTTATCTTCAAGAATTCATTTGAATGTCTTCCCGATTGAATTTTTAGCTGAAATTTGGTATGAGTAAACTAGACTTAATGAATAAGATGCTCAAAATATTTATCAAAAAATTCCACCGGGAGCCACCTCAAATGGCACGTCCGGACAAAATCTTCTATATAAGGACTTATTTGACCCCCTTTTTGCAACTTTAAGGACCAAACTGAACCTTTACTCAAATTTAGTTTGAAATATTAATTAAAATAGTTTTAATTAGTTGCATTACTTTTGTACTCATTATTATATTTGTTGCAAATTAATATTTGTTACATTTTTAAGATGGAAGGTGGTAGATATTCGGTTGATATGGGTAACCTCGAGCGCAACCGAAGGAACGAGATTGGGAGGAAGAAATCCCGCAAAGGTAAAGAACTTGCCGGCTCTTCATCTCAAAGCCGAGATGATTTTGAAACGGGTTACCAAAGGAGGGATGGAGATGCGATGTCCGAACAACAACTACAACAATAATTGGCCCGACATAATAACCGCTTTCTCAAACAAGAACAAATCCCGACAACCATTGACGAAGATGAGCTCGAGGATGACGATGCGGATGAACTTGAACAGGAGACGGGCGATGGTGACGGCAACCACGACGAGGCGGACGAGCCCACCTCATCCCAACCCGGTAAGAAAAAAGTAAATCTGAACTAATGAAAAACAATTTTGATAAGTGGAAGGACGCACAAACCGGGTTTTGGTACGCAACTTGCAAGTGGTGCAACAAAAATTATAGCTTGGTGGTGCCAATAGTGTGATGAGTAGATTTTTTCATCAACGTTGCATGCCATGTTATAAATTTATGTGTGCAAGACGGTCTAAAAGCGTTAGGAGATGCTATGGAGATAGTCGGGGGGGGGGGGGGGGGGGGTAGACATTTTTGGGGTAGTGGTCAACTTAGATTAAAATGGCAAAATTATTTGACTGAAAGAGGTGTGAGATATGTTGTTTTTCCTAAAGATTTGACTATTCGTTGGAATAGTACTTATAAATTACTTAAAGTTGTTCTTAGATATAAAGAACATTTTTCTGCTTTTTTAAAACAACATGATAACTATATTATACACTCGGCAGACATCGACACTTGCGAAAAAAATTGTAATGTTTTGATATATTTT